TACATAAAATTTCAAGTGGGCTTAAGATAGTACATGATCATAACTTCATTCATCGTGACCTTCATAGTGGCAATATTCTCATTAACCAGATTAATATTCCAGCAATTGCAGATTTAGGAATAAGCAAACCAACAGATACATCATCGGATGAGGACACAATTTATGGAGTTATTCCGTATGTTGCACCAGAAGTATTAAAAGGAGGAAAGTTTACACAAGCTTCAGATATTTACAGTTTTGGTATGATTATTTGGGAAGTAATAAGTGGCTGCAGGCCATTTTCTGATCGTAAACATGATGAACATCTCATTCTAGATATTCTTGATGGTTTTCGCCCAAAAATTCCAATTGACATTCCACACGAATTAGTTAAATTTTTGGAAAGGTGCCGGGATCCAGATCCAGAAAAAAGAACTTTTAAGGATTTTATTAATTTTTCTATTTTGGGGTTTTGGGAACAAAGGAGACGAAGGGAAATGGGCGATATGGGATATGAGCTTGATCAACTTATTAGAAAAGCAAAAAGCGGAGAAATGAAATTTCCGGAAAATCTAGGTACAAGTATTTTACCAACTAAAATAAACGAACAAGCAATTTATTCTAGTCGACCATTAACACCATTAATTAGTAAAGCATTGACTTTACAAAGCATAAAATTAAATAGCAATGCAATTACGGGTAAGAAAATATATTGTTTTGTATTGTTTTGTGATGGTGCATACTTTTTATTTTGGATAATAAATCAATAATTATCAAATTTATTAGACATCCAAATGGTAATAATGTAACAACCAAGTAATACTGCAATAACTAAACAAATAATTCTAAAGCGATATAAACAATTTTTGAATGGAGTTTTGACTTAATTGACTTAATTTATTAACGATATGAAAGTTTCTAACAAGTCATTAAGTTTTTAATTAGCTATATATTCTTATTAGAGATTCAACATTTATTAAAAATTCTCCCGTTACTAATTTTTAACATAGCTTTATTAAATATTTTAAAGAGACAAATTTAATTATAACAGGTTGTTACGTAACAGCTTACTTAGTACGTCCAATAAAAATGCGTGCAGCAAGACAAAAACTAAAACAATTGGCTAACTGTTGGACTATTACATGTAACAGCTGTTATGAATACGTTTTTCATTTTAAACAATATTTTTAAATTTTCACGTATATATAAATAATAGTAGATGGATTAGATAGTGTTGTAAATTAATGATTTGATCAATTATTATTAGAGTTCCGCAAGTGCCTGGCACGATACTTAATAATTTCGTATCTTGCACTTACAGAATCCTAAGATTAAAATTAACATAATTAAGCCTCAAGAAATAATACATTATATATCAAGTTTATTTGGAATTAAAGTTTGATTAACGATCAGCCAACATTCGTATATAATTGCATGCCTACTAGTCAAATAAATCTACAAAATTTGTGCAATTAGTTATAGTTATTAATGTTATGTTCATTTATTGTTGTTTGGGTCACAATCACATGATCGCGAATTTTTCTACCATCACTATTCTACCTAGACACAGCAAGTATCACCACCAAAAATTTACAGGCACGTGATAGCCTTGTTGCGTACCAAAAATCTTTAAGCTCGTTTAAGCTAGGGCTAGTGTTTATATTAAGAAAAAAATTTTCCATCTTACAATTTGTCAGTGAAGTAACTTTGCGTGCACTAAAAAAAAAATTCCTCTTATAATTTTGGTATGAATAAATCCTCATCTAACCCAACTTTAAAATCAACGTGCAACCATTACATATTTAGTAAGTATGCAAACCTAATATATAGACTCTGCCGATGGTGGTGCTTTTTAGATGCTTTTGGAGACAACCAGGTAACAGTAAATATTTATGCAGTTTACCGTTACTTTAGAAAGTGAAGAAATCTACCGGAATTTTTAATACAGAATTCTCAAACATGTAAGGCTAAATATGGATTGATCTACACGAATTCGAATATTCTATGCCTATAGTGCTTAAATATGGAATGATCTACACGAACTCGAACATTCTATATTGAATTAAAAATTTTATATAAATTAACCGAATTCGAAAACCATTTATTCAGTCAAGGAACATAATTTTGATTTTATTAATAACGTATTTTAACTGCATAATGTATAATGAAGAAAGCTCGCCAAACATTAATAGCCAATCTACGGAATGGGCTGTAGGCTTTACTCAAGATCAAGTTAATATAAGTTTGCTAAACACTTATAATAATCCATCTATTGAATGGTCCACTGGATTTACTCAGGGTTATGAGGATAATAATAGTTTATCTACAGAATGGTCTATAGACTTTACTCAAGATCAAACTAATATAAGCTTACCAAATTTTTATAATAATC